ATTAGTATTTGTTTAGTTTTGTCATAAAATTTTCTATGATTAGTAATTGGCCTTTATCTATTCTTTACATTAAAATCTTTTTCTGATGCACCTGTTCATTGACTCATTTCATGAAGTATCTCATCCATTATCTTTTTGAATGTAAAATCGTCTGGAATCATACATTGTCATCTATAATATAGTGCATATGGCAGCAAAGGATTATTTATGAGAAGTTTATTCTTCAATTCATCAAATAGGTTGGTATAACATTTACTCAGAATTAAAAATTTTGTGGAAAATTGTCCCTCAAATGGAAAAAATCCGGTTGAAAGTTAGCAAGCAAGAAATTAATGATAAGGTTTTACTTTCAGATTTTTTAGAAGAATATTTTAATAATTTTTACTCGGAAATGTCGATATTTGGGGAATATTTTTCAGTTCAAGAATATACAAATCGAGTTAAATTTGTGGATTTTATTTCCAAAAAAATAAATGACTTGGATAGACTTATTCTGGTGATCAAGGCATTTTACTATTACGAGGATGTGTTAGCAGAGATGAGAATTGTTAATGATTTCAATATCTTCCATCAAAATATTGTAGAGATAGCAGATTTTCTGGCCAGTGTCTTTGAAAGTATGAAAACTAGTTTTATTCCCTCACCAGACATCAATTTTTCCTTACAAGCTAGCTTATACCCTGATTATACGTTGAGCGAGGCTGCATTCAATAGACATGATTCCCTTAATCCTATCAGTGATGACCCAGATCAAATTCCTGAAATTGATTATAGAGAAATCCAAACACTAATAAAAATATATTTGATCAGAGAGGATATTTCATCAAAAACTTTTATGTACTCATTAGAGAACGATATCTTAAAAATCACATCACTTAACTTGGAGTTCCACATGAAGCTGTATGGATTGATCTCTAGTCCAATTTGGAAACTCCATGATGTCAAAGTTAATTCACTTCAGTCGAAACCGTATTTAATGGCTTCATTTGGGGTACCTGATGCACATTTAGTCTGTAGAATTTGTAAATTTATAGAATTTTATGAAAATCGTAAGCGGGCTTCGGAAGTATTTTCAATGCTAGAAGATCCCACGGGCTATTTTCAGAATTTCAGTGGATTAATCAATGGTATTAAAGTTGTTGGGATTCTTTCGCCAACTGGGAACTTCAAATTAACAAAAATAGTTAATTCGGGTACATTTGAAATAGATGATGTTAATAGTCTGCTATTACAACCTGAATCAAAGAGACTTGTGAAATCATTCATTGAAACACCTCAGAGTTTATTTATTAATCAGGGACACAATTTTTCTTTCAACACAGAGGATATATTTTGGGGATTTCCCAGAAATGGAAATACCCTATACATGGGAAAGAATCCAAGTCTTAGAAATGGTTTCATGTTGAAATTCGCAGTCATTGAGAATATGCTTCAAATTGTGAACTTTGAACAAAATATTGAGTCAACACATGATTTAACATCCTATATTTTAGAAAAATTCATAGAGTTTAATAGTCATTTGCTTAGACTATTCTATGAAATCACACAATACAACATTTCAGCAACATTTACCGCTGCAGAAGATGGTGCCAACCGATATTTTATTGAAACTAAATTTGTCAAGGTTTATTTTGATAAAAAGTATTTTGTGGCATCTTATCCATCAAATGTAGCCAATCAAAATTCTCTATTTAATTCATCCAACCTAGAAAGTACAATAAATAAGGTATTATTGATACATCTTCAAAATATTATCCAAAATGTGAAAGTAAGTAATAATGTAGAAGGCGAGATCCTATCTTTTGAATGGGACGGCATTGTTCATGTTACAATTACAGATAGAATAACCACTAATTTGACTCTCCTAACTGAAGATATTGGGAATCTTACTTTAATAGAAGCATTGAACTTTATCAAACATTTCGCCATTTTTTATAAAAATGATAATATTCCCTCGACAAGTAGCAGGCATACCATATGCTTTGATTTCACAGATACTCTATCTGAAAATTGCATAATCAATTTTGAACCCAAGCCATTTTCACTAGAAAGTATTTTTGTAGGGAAATCTCCATGTACAACCAGTGAATGCATTACTGTATCTGGGTACAAGACGCTTGAAAACATCCAATATTCAAATAATGAAATTGATCATAAAGAGTTTCACAGATTATACCTTACAAATCGATTCCATTGCATTAAGAAATTCATTCTGAACAAATTGGATGGGAATGTCCATTCATTTGAGGTTGATTTTAGTGATGATCAACGTGTTGCATTAACTCAGAATAATATTGAATATTTTAGCTCTATGGATGATGCATTCAATAAAAATGTTTCTAATAAGCTAACTACTTGCCGTAACTTCAAATACTTTCTGAAAAGAACGGTAAATGAATTACAAAACCATTTAGAACTATAAGAATATGAAGAGGATATTTACTTCAAAAATTAAAGGGTAAATCTATCGAAAAATCAGTATGGATGATGTAATGCTCGTTAATAAATAAAAACCCTCTTTTTTGATAGTATATGCTTGCAATAACTGTATGCTTTGTGTATATTCTAATTGTTTGTAAAACAAAGGCACCTTAGTTCCTCTTTCTCCTAAATAATTATTTAATTCTAATTACCCTTATGGATTTGAAAGATATTTGCTACTTCAGTGTATGTGACACAAATAACACCATTTATTATGAAATGAATTTTGACAATATCGATTCATCTGAGATCATCGAGAAGTGCAAGGAATCTATTTCAATTTATAAAGAAATGACACTTTTTGTTGAAACTAAACATACTTCACAGAATGTTAACATAAATATTATTCTTTTGGCAGATAAAGAATCGAATGAATTGTTTGTCAAGCAAGCATTTGACAATTTTGTAGTTGCTTTGGATAGATTTATGAAAAATTGGAGTATTTCACGAATTGAGCAAAAGTATGATCAGATTGTATCGTTGAGCAATGAATTTCTTTACAATGGAATCATTCTGGAGGATAATGCTGATGTTTTGTCGAAAAGACTCCAAAAACGAACTTTTGAAAATATCGGTGGAATGAAAGTTAATAAAGGATTTGCATCACTTTTAGGAAAAGCTGCTAAATCTTTAAAAAAGGGACTGAAATAAAACTGTACAACTGATATGTAACTTTTATGAAATAACTAATCGATAGATTAAAAAATTGTTAAAGTTCTGTATGTGTTGTAACATAGCCTTAATCTGTTGATTCTCTTTGTATAAAACATTGCTCTGTTATATATTGCAATCCAGAATTGGTTCGTAGCCATCACTTCAATGAAATTTTCATGTTATGCAATAGAAAGATTCAGTCTTCTTTAAAAGTAATCCTAGAATTTAATTTAATGATTTCAGAATGATCCGATATTTCGTTGATGGCTTCGCAACTACTCGTTTTTAAAACAAATAACTAATCGTCCAGTAAAAGTTTATAATCTCACGTTTTCAAAATGCTAGGCCGATTTGTATGGAATGATCTTCTATATCTGTTTTCACAAGGATATATTTTATGAAATTTTTGTAAAAATTTTTTTAATCGTTTTAGCCCACATGTTTAGATTTAGCAAAGTAGACTATTCCAAGACCAGTATTAAAGAATTTAGAGTTCACGGAAGTAAGCGCCCATCAGAAAACGAACCTGCTCCACAAGTTTATGTGTCTACTATTTTTGCAAAAAATATAGTTATTGCAAGATCGATATTTTTCAAACTTTTGTCCAAACAGTATAAAATCAAGTCTTCTCACGGAGAAATTCTGAAAATAGAGGAGATAGAGCAAGATAGTGATTTTGTTATAAAAAATTATGGGATTAGTTTTATTTACAGGACGAAAACTGGATTGCAAAATGCTTATAAAGAGTTTAGGCATGTGAATACAGTTTGTGCAATTTCAGCTCTTCATCAGGAATTTGGATCAAGACATAAGGTGAAGCATACTGACATCTACATTATTAGCATCAAGAAATTGGCTGACAATGAAGTTACGAAACCAAAGACTCTTACATATGCTGGTGCAGATGTTATGTATCCAGTATTCCTTAAGATATCCAATACTAACAAGACATTTGTTCCAACTACCCAGAATATTCTTGAATAAATGAATATTTATTACTTAGTTCTGTGGTTTTAAATATTCTGCCACTGTAGATTGCTCATCGCATGTGATGAGAGTCTTTTAAATCTTAAAAGTGATTTATTTTATTAATACTAGAAGTGTATTTCTCTCTTCAGTATCTATTAAAAACTTGGTATTCTGTTTAAAAAATAGTGTTTGCTGTTAAACATACTTTAAAATATAATGATTAATTGCTATATCGCACAGATAATTTATTATTTTGCAACCCCTTATGGAGAAAGACTATTTTATGATTTATCCAATTCATATTGACTCCTCTAAAAGTCTCAATAAAGGTAGAAAGTATTCAAAGATTAATTCGATAGATTCTCCTAAATGTACAGAGATAAAGAATGCCCTTGATAAGTTAAGAATAGAATATTTGTTTGAAATTGATAAAAGACATCCACAAGATTTGGATATAAAAGGAAGGTATAAGATTAAAGATAAAGATAGGAAAAATATAATAAAGAGCTTGGTTAAAGCTATTGACGATCAGAGAAAAGCCAAGAAGCTTTCTGAGAATGCGAACAAAGTTCCGAACTTGTTGGAGTTAGTTCCGAGAAAGAAGAAAAAGAAAGGTAAAAAATAGCTGGATGATTGAAATAAAGGATTATTTGCAATAACTTTATGTGTTTTTGAAAAGAGATCTATATTCCCATAGGATTTTGCTATGGGCTTTATACCATAGATTTCTCAAACAATTTTCAGTTATTAATATAAGCAACTATAAAATGAGAATTATTTACTATACCGCAGAATCAATTATACAAATACTTTCGAATGCTAAGATTCACGAACTAACTGTCCTAAGGTAGATTAAAAATGCACAAAATATGTGAATGGGTAGGTAATTATTTTATTCACTCAATGTAATCAAATGTCACGTATTTTCTCAAAACTTCAGGAACGATAATCTTTAGACCATCCTGATAATTCTCCACAATGCAGCAAAGTGTTCTTTGGATAGCACAAAGTGTGGAATTCAGCATATGAACAAACTGAGGTTTTTCATTGGCCTTTGTAAATCCGTAATAGACATTTAGATTTCTAGATTGATAATCTGTACAGTTACTGGCACTGACTAGCTCTCTATATTTACCAGCATTGGGGAAAAATGCTTCCAAATCATATTTTTTAGATGCTGCATCATTCATCTCTCCTGACGATATCAAAACCACCTGATAGGATAAGTCTAAGGATTCATAAAACTCACGACTTATGTTCAACATCTGATCGTGATACATTTCGGATTCAGAAGGCTTACAAATTAAAAACTGCTCAATTTTTTCAAATTGATGAACCCTAAATATTCCCGCATTGTCTTTACCATAAGCACCTGCCTCCTTTCTAAAGCAGAGTGATTCCCCAGCATAAATCTTGGGCAAATCAAAATCGGTTAACCTCTTATTCATAAAAAGCGCTGTTAAAGGTTGCTCAGATGTGGCTATAAGATATAGATCATCTTCTACTTTATAAAGTTGGTCATCGAAATCATTCAATTGAGCAGTAGCCCCCATAACTTCTCTTCGAAGCATTACAGGTGTTTGTATAAATGTATAACCTCTCGCATGCAAAAAATCAATGGCATAGTTTTTAAGTGCATTTGCCAAAAGTGCCAATTTTCCCTCAAGATAATATCCCCTGTGTCCAAAAACCTCCGCCCCTGAGGCTGAATTAGTAAAAGGCGTCATTAATTCTGAAAATCCAAATTTTGTAGATTTGAGAGACCTCTTCATTTCATAGGAAGAAACTGTAATATTACCATCATCTGTCTTATGAATAGGTACACTACTATCCAATATATTGCCCACAGTTGGCAACAAAGACATGATTTCTCCGTCTAGTTCGTCGATTCTTTCCTTAAGTCTCAATTGTCTATCCTTTATATGAAGATTCTCAAACTGGGAGATAATTTCCTCAATAGTTTCTTCAGGCTTTTTATTTTTAATCATTTTTTTAATTTCCTTCTGATTCAAATTCATTTCCTTATTTAGTTTCTCCCATTCAAATCTTGTTTTAATCCTTTCACTATCAAGATAGTAAATTTTGTCAACAACAGCTTCATCCTTGAATCTGTTCTTTTCACTTTCACGAATGACTGAGCGTGTTTTATCATCACGAAAAAGCCCAATATCCAGCATGGGTGAAATTTTTAGCAAAGTTTTCTAAACCGATTGAAACAATGAATTGCGTGCACAGGATCAAAAATCAGGACAATAGCTATGCATATAATCAAAACAATGAAAGAGCCATAGCATATACCTGATAGATACTAGTTTGTTTAATATTATTTCTTGACCCCAGTAGCTTTTTGAAGTTTAAGCATATTACTCAATAATTATCTATATAATTCTAATGTAGAAGTGCTATTGGATTTTATAATATTAATAAGATATTTGATGGGCACTACTTTTATAACACCATATGACCAGGAATGCCACCCAAAATTAATTTATTATATTAGCCTTACATTTAAACTGTAATCTACTTATTATGGCAGTTCTTAAATGAAGTGGATGCGTTATTATATACAAAGATTCCTGAAATGCAGTCTCCTTTTATGAGAAAAAATCTTTCTTTTTCATAAAGAACAACATTCATATGCTCATCAAAACCAGATATTTTCCCTTTATGGCATACTGTGGAATTTCTTTCGAGTAGTATTACTTCCACTTCATTCTTATAATACTCAAATATTTGTTCTAATGGGAATTGTGTCATTTAGTAAAAGAAATAAGGGCATGCGATTTTGGAATCACAAAATTCTTCAATTATTTTGTAATATTCAACCTATTAATTAATAAATAAACATCTTCTGATAGCCAAAATCAGTATCTGGCTTACAATTTTATCTCAACAATCTAACTCCTAGTATCATAATAGTTCTCTTGCTAATCATGAGCATGTAATAAATTAATATTCAAATATACTGTTTGATTGTTCACGATCAACAGGTTGGTAAAACGCATTAGATATTGGGAGTGAAGTTTAATTTATCAAAAATTTAAACTCAACCTGCATTGTATATTAACTATGACACACAAAAATTTTTCAGAGAGAACATATCAGCTTTTTGTGATGAAAAGCTTAACTAAAGCAATATATGTCATAGTAACATATTTATTCATTTCCCATTTCTAATTCTTCAATTCTTAACTTTAATGCTGCAATCTCCTTGGCATATTTTCTTCTTATCTTAGATATTTCGAGTGAAGCATCAACATTTATTTTATTACTTTTTAATTCTTGAATCGTCAGATCAGACTCTAATAGTTGCCTTTGATAGAATTCTGTGTTTTTCTGTAGCTCAACCATATTGGCTTCTAGATCAAAAATATATTTGTTTTTAAGATCAATCTCTACTCTTAGATCAGATATTAGTTGTCCAAGCTTCTCATACTCCACTTCTTTTGCTTTATAGATTGACTCTGTAGCAACTTTTTCATTCATAATCTTATCAATGATCTGATTTAGTCGTTGAATATCATCGATTCTTTGTGTTTCCGTTTCTACAAGCTTAAGCTTATAATTCTTTCCAATTTCTGAAAAGACAGTATTCAACTTCTGAATAATCTCCCTCATATCCTCAAATTCAATTTTGGTATTTTCCAAAAGACATAAATAATTCCGTTTAATAATTACACCAATATTTTTAATTTTATCGACTTCATTTAAAACTCGTTTGTATTGTAGAGAGTACATATCCAATTCGATTTTCCGATGTGAGATTTTTGATTCTAAACATTGTTTTTCTTTGATCAGCAGACTGTTCTCTTTAGTTAGAAATTCCAATGATTCCAAATTAATTTTGTTTTCATTTCTTAAGTTTGTTTCAATAATTTTAAAATCCTCCAAATCTCCATTTTTCAACAAAATTTGCTCGAGTGCGTTTTCTTTTTCCCTAGTTAGTGTATCTATGAGAATTTCTTTGCTATTCTTGTCGTCTTTTAAATTATCGATTAGCATATTCTGCAACACCCTTTCATTTTTCAGTACTGAAACACTCTCCTTTAGTGTATCTATTTCACTTTGAAGAAAATGCTGTTCGTTTTTCCTTAGCTGAATGTTTTTATATAATTGCCCATGAATATTTGTGATTTGAGTAATTAAATTTTCAACCTGATCAAAATACACCCAAATTTGTTGGATATGTAGATTGAGTTTTGCAATATTGAATTCCATCTCTTTCATGCTTCTATCAGTACAGTTTTTGAAAAAATCTTCAATTTTTTTTAACTCAAAACAATACCTTTCAGTATTTAAAATATTCTGTGAATTCATCTCCATATTTTTAGAAATGATTTTCTCAAAAACCCCTTTGATATTGTTGATTGAAAGAATATTCTCCAAGTCAAGGCAAATCTCTACCAACTGTGATGCAAAGGTAGTAATATTTTCCAGTTTTAAATTATGCTGAGTTAAATTACATATTATAGCTTTTGATACTTCGACATCTATAGAACCAGTGTGATTTATGGTATTATTACTATATTCAGAGTTATTAGTTTTTATTTTACAATCTTCTAAATTCTTCTCATCATCCAATTTTACCGTAGATTCATCTATTAGTATCTGATAAGAATGTAAAGTTGGATTAGCCAAATCTTTAGCATAACTGTCTATACTGGTTTGCAGATCATAGTTGTCTAGATTCTTAAATTTAACTTCAATGATATTTTTTGGATCAAATACACCACTTTTATTTATTGAATGAAACTCCTCGGTTATTTTTGGCATTTGGTCCAGACTGTCTGAATTATCTCCCGTGGAATTTGTTCCTTCCACCTTTGAATAATCTGCAGCGGATAAAAGCTCTACAACTTCATTAGAAAATGAATCTTCCAGGATCAAATCTATTTTATCAAGTGGATTATCATCAATAGATCCATTTTCGGATTCTTTAAAACTATATACTTCCTCTATAATCATATTATCTGAATAAATAGTATTTTCTTCTGCATCTGGCACTTCAATCTGAGCCATGTCCAAATAATTTGGTGATTGACCAGTAGAATCTATCGAGAAAGCAGTTTCTTTGGTGACATCATTTAGAATATTTTCAAAATCAGTATTTCCACAGTCGGTCAAAACATCATTCAAATCTTGTTGAACAGAATGCTGTTCAGAAAATTCAATGTTATCTGGTTTTTCTTCTGAAAACTTACTTCTTTTAGATGAAACATCATTTATAACTGTAGGTGGTTTAATATGTCTTTTTGATGAGTTGGAAGTATGGTTATTTAATTTATTATCACTGGATGACACAGAATTTCGTTCATAATACTCCTTAGAGAAAGAATGCCTCAAGAGCTCTGTAGAGTTCTGTGATAAAACATCGTTATAGATATTATCTTTATTAGTTGCCGAAAAAATATTTTCCTTTTCTGATATTATAACTGGAGAATTTATAGAATTACATTTTGACGATACGAAGGATTTGTTGTATGCCATGGCATTCTGAAATAATATCATTGTGGAGTTTATTTGCTCAACTGATTCTGTACTAGGACTTTCATCTTTCAACGGAGTTGCTATTGGCAATGAATCCGTGTCTTGCAGGGACAAATTGTTTTCTACAATAGTTTTATGGGACATTATATTTATAATATATTTGGACTGTACAGAATCACAATCTTCAATTTCGTGAGATTGTTCTTTTTTGATAGTACTATCAATAGTCTTACACAATTTTGTATTTATCCTTTCTTTTTTATATCTTTGCCTAGTAAGAAATTGCTGCAAAGAAATCGATCTAGTTAAGAATTTTCTTCTAAACATTGGGCATAAATTTTTTAAAGAAAAAAAGGCGGGAAACATGACAAATTTTGAACTGAGGGAAACCAAATATGGATTATTTTTGGAATGTACTACTTCCTGGACATTTTTAATCATTTTCATCCATAGTAGTAAAGAAAATAAACATGTCATTATATTAGGATGAGTAGTTGTTAACAGAACGGTGTTTGAGGGCGCACGAGATTTTTGTCCAGTATATAAATCACTTTATGCTACATTTATATGATTTGGCCTAGTAATATGTGGAAGAGTTGGCTTTTGAATCCCCTAAATGGCAGATAATTTAAAAAAGTTACAAATTCTATTTAATGAAATCCAGGAGGTCAAAAATTCTCAAAACAAACTAATCATTGACAGAGCAGTTGAAGTTGTAATGCTAGATGACTCAATTCTGGATATTATTAATTCTATTCTGCTGTGTAGGAAGAACTCAATTCCACACAAAATATTGGATTTTTATCGAAAAATTATACTGCAATTACTGGATAAAGGCCAAAAACTGACTATTGTGAAATGGCTCAAATATATAATTTTTTTTACAACATCAAAGAGTATTAAGGCTAGAAAAAATTCACTTCAACTAATAAATACTTTGCTGGAGATGGTCTCTGGAGATGATGGATTTTTCAGCAATGACTCAGATGGCCTTCAGAAAGTAACTGAAAGATTATTCGATAGAGAAAAAACAGTTAGAAGGGAAGCTTTAAAAATATGCCTGAGATATCAAAATTGTAAATTAAATGAAAAACTAACAGTTCAAGGTGCACTAAAAGATGTTGTAAGGTATGATGCATTTGTAGAAATTAGGAAAATGGGCCTTATAGGAATAGAGGTTAATTCCGGTACTATAAACTGTATTTTAGAAAGATCTATTGACACAAATGTAAAAATTAGAAAAGTGTTTTGGAGCAAAGTTTTACAGATTGATTTGGCAAGCCTACAAAGTTTTCAGAGAATATTCTTAATGAAAAGAGCAGCTCTCGAAAGAGAATTCGATGCAAAATCTATATTTACAAGCATAATCAGGCAGTATTCGGTAGAAGAATTTTCAGAGCTTTTTTATTCAAAAGAGCCAGAGTATTCCGAGTATATTAATATGTTTTTGATCAACTCAGATCAAATATTTTCTCTTGATAAATTTACATTCGTCCACATAAACTTCTTGAATATTTATTACAAATTTGTGGAGAATACATTTGGAAGGGATAGCTTGAAACTAATGGATCTAGATAAGTTTCTAAAGGTTTTATATGAGCATTGTGAAGCTTCGGTTAATGCATTAGAGAAGGATTTACTTGAAAAGAATGAATCAGAGATAATTAGAAATCTTTTTAGACTGCTTGAATTCTATGATATTTTTACTGAGATTGCAAAAAGAAATGTTCTATCCATTATCAAAAAATTATTGACGATTTGCCACTTGAAAGAAATTATAGAAGAATCTATCATCTTGGCCAAACGCATCTGTCCAAATCAACTGATTGCTTTCATCGGATCCATTATAAAAAACACGTTAGGTAGTCCTATCTGCCTACTTATTTCGGAATATGCAATGAAACATATTGACATATACGAAGCTGAAAGCAATATTCATGATGCAATCATCAATGAAATAGCACTGCCAAATATTAAAGAATCTTTAAATATCATTTACTGGTATCTAATGAAAAAAGATTCAGAAAATATTTTAGAGATATATCTGAGCAACTTCTCCAATACTGAAATCGTAGAGGGCTGTGTTGATCTAATTATCTGCGGAAGGCTGGATATTAGTAGAATAGTATGCTTTTTTGATGATAACAAAGAAAGCCTGGTTGTTCCTATTACAAAATTGCTACAGTCAAACAAATTGGTCAGCCAAGAGCATGTTAAAAGATTACTAATAAGCTTTTATACCACTGAGACACCATATATCCAGCAATATCTGACAGTATTTTTTTATGAGTATTTTAAAACTAATTCCAGCATTTTAGTGGAAATATTTGTAGATATTCTAAATCTTATTGAAGGTAGTCAGCACATATTTATAGATCAGGCAATTTACTGGATTTCAAATGATCTACTAGAAATATCACATATACAAGGCCTGTACTTTAATATATCTTTATACATTCTAACCAACTTCGATCATCTCACAAACAAAAAATATTTATTTGAAACGTTAGAAAAAATTTCTGTTGGGAACAATTGGGATTCAACTTTGATCAAAAAGCTAATATATATAT